TATTACACTAGAAACAGAAAGCCGCTCCTACATATATACATCTTATGAGAGATATAATGAAACATATGGAACTAGAGAAAATCAGATACTCCCTAAAAAAGAAAGAAGACAAATTCTATAAAATCTGGCAACCTTTCATGGCTTACTTAAAAGACATAAATTCAACAGGAAATAGTCAAATTGAATAGGATTAGACCAATTTAGTTTAAAAACAGAAGAGTATTATTATTTTATTTTAACTTTTCTTTACTCTTATTTATTATTTAAGATTGTATTTATTATTTGTTACCTTTTTGTAAATACAATTTAATTCAAATTTATTTTATATATATTGTTTTTTTTTATTAATATTATTATTATTATTATTATTATTTGTATTAATCTATCATTACTACATTTATATATGGATTGTTTGTATATTACATGCTTTATTGTCAATTGTGGTGTGAATGTTTGTAAGACCAATGATGTAAGTTGTTTTGTTATAATATCAAAAAAAAATAAAGAAAGTTATTTAAAAAAATAATATATTTTAAATCTATATAATAATATTTTATATATATTTTAGGATGACATTTAAGAACTCTTCAATATACTATTATAAATATTAGTATAAATTAATATTAAATATAAATGTTTAAATATAAAATATAAAACTGAACTGATATTTTTCAAGGCTATAATTAAGTTTTACAGGTCAGCCATAAAATACTAAATTGTCATTTTAAATCTTCATATCTTACCACCATCCTTCAGACTACTCCCAGCAGTCTTGCTTGTATTAAAATCCCCAAAATGACAAAAATAAAAATACAGAACTCAGTATATCAGTCACACTAAAATAAAACAGCTGAGTACTAAATGTTTCAGTGCTATTTAATGCATTAAAATTTGTAATGCTGGATTTAATTGTTATGAGAAAGGGTGATGAAAAAGTCAAACTGCTGTGTTCCTATCAGGAAAATAAAACAGTAGCAGTATATGTTGGGCCAAATCGATGACATTACCAATATAGCAGCTAACCTTTTTATTTAGTTATGAGAGAGAGAGTTCAGCACAAAGTAGGACATCTAGCTTGAATAATTCACAATTAACAGACGGTGTATATATACAATTTTAAAACATATGACTCACAGACACTAATAGAGCCACAGAGTACTTTTACATCCACAACTTGAGCATATGACTAAACTGTTAGGATTAAGCAAGTACTTAATTCTGGGTTTTAGATTATTTAGCTAACAATTTATTGCTCTAAAATACTTGTATATTTGTGAAAATAGCATGGTTATCTGCAATATATGATTTTCCTACACAACCATCTCTAGGGTTTACAAAGAATAGTCTGAAAAAGAGAAGGGATGTAATGGTGTGGGGAATATTTTCTTGTCACACTGTGGGCCCATTAGTAACAATTGAGTATCGTGTCAACGCCACAGCCTACTTGAGTGTTGTTGCTGACCATGTCCATCCCTTTATGACCACAGTGTACTCATCTTCTGATGGATACTTCCAGCTGCAAAACACAACATAAAGTGCAAATCATCTGGTTTCTTGAACATGACAATGGGTTCACTCTACTCAAATGGCCTCCACAGTCACCAGAACTCAATCTAATAGAGCACATTCAGAATGTGGTGGAATGGAAAATTCACACCATGGATGCTATATGGACCAACATCTCTGAGGAATTTTCCAGTACCTTGTTTAATCTATGCCACAAAGGATTAAGGCAGTTCTAAAGGCAACCTTTTGGCAACCATTTGGGTCCAACTTGGTACTAGTAAGGTGTACCTAATAAAGTGACCGGTGAGTGTATCTATAGTATACTTGTTTTATTATGACATTGTTTTTATTATTACATTGAATTATGACATATGTGTGTTGAATATGGGTAATGCCAAAATTGATTGTGTAGTCCAAACCTGACATTATAATTTCTGCATCAATTATAACATTTCATTGTCTATAACAATAAAGCAATGTGGGCACTTTTTGCTGAAACAAAACCCCTCCAGTAATACGTCATTTAAGAGACTTTTTATGGATGGTTTCAGCCCTTGGTTGTTGTTGTTATTTTAATACGTGCGTCACTTTCACAGCATTTCACAAATCCCAGAAGTACCAATGACAAACAATACTAAAATAGCCTTGAACTGATGAGCATCTGATAAAAGTGGAGCTATTAAATATAGTCTCACTTAGTTTACGGACTCACAGCTTTTTTTTTTTTTTTATGGTTATGAAGCACTTCAGTTATAAAGTGCTTCCGCTGGGACTGTACACACAAAACATCCACATGCCCTTACTATATTGATCGAACATTAGAGGGCTGTTTTAAATGAGGACTTCCCTTTTTAGGATTTTATGCAATTTTTTAGTCATTAAGAGGCCTCAGTTTGAAAAATTTCACTTGTTAGATTTATTCTGCATATTCTTCCAGAAGCACGGCGTGGGGGCTCAGTGGTTACCGCTGTGTAAAACGTATGCTGGATAAGTTGGCGGTTCATTCTGCTGTAGCAACCCCTGATAAATAACGAAACTAAGCCAAAGGAAAATAAAGTGAAATATTAAACTCATAGATTTATTCTGTGTGACGTTTCGGTCTCACCAGACATACAGTCAAGCCCAATATTATCTATACCCCTGGCAAATTCAAATGCAAATATAAACTAGTGTAATGGAGGCCAGCTAGTAAGTGCTGTGTAGGTAAACCTCACTGCTCTGACGTCTAAAGGTGCTCTAGCGACAGACACTAGAGGGCATGGTCTTTAGCCTTCTTGGTAGAGCAACCAACTCCCATGTGGAATGTCTCCGGTTGATACCAGCTTGGAGTGGGTTGGGTGGCGTAGGCACAGTGGGGTAACAATAAAATATATATTTTTCCACAATATTACCTCTTGTACATCGTCTTATCATCTTTTGAAAGAAGTCTGTGTCATTTCCAGACCAAAATAAAAAATTACTGCTTTATTAAATGTAATTTTAAGTCAGAATTTGCAAGGGTTAAGAATAATTTCAGGCTTGACTATTTATAGACAGAAACAGCAAAATAAAGAAAATAATAACCAATAAATATCACTAATGCAAACCAATCACCATGCATACTATAGCAAGCAATTATGGCTCAACATACAACAACACAAAACAGTATAAAACAATAATAAATAATTAAAAATTAATTAATTACATTTTTAAATACCTTTATCATTTCCCAGTGCTTAGTGGCAGATGTCAAGGCGTCCACTGTGTAAAACATATGCTGGATAAGTTGGCAGTTCATTCTGCTGTTGTGATCACTGATGAATAAAGGTACTAAGCTAAAGGAAAATGAATAGATGAAATTCCTTTATAATGTTTCATTAAATAATGCTGCATCATTTAATCCCCTACAAAATAATCATATAAGTGCATCCATACTGTTCATGATTTGGATCAAATCCTTTAAAATATTAATGCTCATATCTTAAGGCTTTTAAAGTCCATTAGTTCTCAGAAGCTGTATGTAGACAACAAACTAACGATCAGCAGTTAATAATTCATATAAATGTACCTGCTTATTACCATGCATAGCAGAAACTTCTGAGGCTGATATTTGGTTTTCATCCTTCTTATTATTTTCAGGAATGGCAGACGGAAAGAAATTGTTGGCTATGCGTGTTCTTAGAAATTGTCTGGTGTGATTGTCTGAAGTCCAATTCATACTGGAAGAGACAAAGCCATCTGGTGTTTTTGAAGAGCTCCGCGTGTATATGTGAAAAGAGATGTCTCATCCGTTTCTTTGAGAAATTTGTTTTCAGTTTGCTATTAGGTCTCGTGGTGGCATTCACCATGGCACAGCAGCATTCTCACTCATGTGATATTCCTCTAATGACACTGTTGAGCTGATATAAGCAATGCAATCTATCCAAACATGAGTGACCAGAATTATCCCTGCAATCACAATCAGCACAATTCACTAGAAAATAAAGCATGTGTTTTACCATCACACAAACAGCACATTGCCTTTGTTATTTCTTGAAATAAATAAAGGAAGAAGAAAAAACACAGCTTTACTACTGGCAAAAGGAGAGACGACTACTATCTGTAGCAGATGGAGACAGTCCAGAGACTGCAACCCACTCATATTGGTTTATTATCATGTGCAATAATAAACTGTCAGATACAAAGTGCTCTCTAAAACTATATAATATACAGTCTAGCTGTGCCTTTGTTGTACTGTATATGATGTGCAAAGTGACTAAATGTACTAAAATATGTTATTTGATATAAATAAATAAGGTTATGGAATACTTTATGCAATAGTATGAAGACATTATGCAATAGTGCCTGTGTCAGATGTAATGTGTTATGAAATGTTAACTTAAAAGTGATCATATACATTACATTATATGCATTGTAATGTAATGTAAATACATGTTATATTATAATACACTTAATATTGACGAGCTGCTTATTATTATGTTATGCGAAGTTGCTTAAACCAACGATTTACTACCTTACACCTGTACACGTGTACATATTGGATATATTACTCTAACACAAAGCAATTTTAATAGGATAAAATAGCCACTTGTGTATCAATAAAACCTATTGGATCACTTCGAGGCATCACGCACGTCCATGCAAGCTATTGTAAAAGCATCACATGCCGTATTTCGCGCAAACAGGGCGAGACCACATTGACTGTACACACACTTGTATAACCGTTTGTATAACACTACAGCGTACTCGGCTTCCCCGGACCAACCACACTCTTTTCCCTCGTCAGCGTCCCATTCACCAGCATTCTCTTACTACTGATTTGTCCATACGCAGCGCACTCCGTCACTGGCCATGGGTGTCCACGTGAGTTGTATGACACACTTATGTAAAAAGACTGACGGGCGTTTCGACCAATCACAGCGCGACTCTCACATTTCCGTATTTTACGCATACAAATCCGCAGGATTTACCCAATAGGAGCGCTCGGAGGGCGGAGTTTGAATTCAGGTCATGCTGCGAGTTCTGGAGATCCAGGGCAGCGGTGTTAGAGAGCAGTCAACGGCGAAGTGTGTCAAACTGAAGCTGTGACTGGACTGGATTTTCAAGGAATATTATTTTATTTATTTGGACTTTTACACTGAGACCTGTTTTGAAGCAAGCCTCCTATGCGAAAAAGAAGATTTGCTGAAGTTGTCAGGTAGGAAATGTTTAGGTTGCTTTACATAAACACCGCCGTTGAGGGGTTGTATAACACTTTCCATTGACTAACTTACAATGTGAGCAGTGCTTTTAAACATTGTTTTGTCTTAAACGGAAAGTTATGTTCGTTGAGAGACGCTGAGATGTATTTAATACACCTTTGTTCAGTTATATATACGTTAGATATATGTGTTTTCTTTGTGTTAAAGTTGGCCGTTGCATAACTGTGTCAGTGATTAGGTCATCCTCGGTCAGTGCTCCAGAGCACAGCCCTATATATCGCTACAGTTTATCCCCCTTTGTTTGCCTTGACAGAAAAAAGTCATAAAACAGCTTAATTTAATACGCAGTTTACTGAGATTGAGACTGTAGTGTATTTTGTTTAAAGGGTTGAGTCAACAAGTCTTCGTTATGAAACAGCCTACTAGCCTCATTTGTCGTGGCAAGCTGTTTTAACATTTATTCGTCTGTACTTTGACATTGTTATATAAAAAAAATAGTTCTTATTTACAAAGACAACTTGGCTGCTAAGATCTTAAACATTTCTCATGCAACTATTCATTTATATTGCTTTCAATACTGAGTGTTAATTAATAACTTTATTAAAAGTATTCACAACAAATGAAGTAGCTGACAATTAATAAATGTATGAATTATGTGTAATATATTGTGTTACTTATTGTAGCAACTTAACTAAGATCTATTTTTACCCTATGAATAATAATTGTTAATGTATGTAGTTGTTAATAATGAACAATGAATAATGAATAATTGTTAAACTAGCTTGCCACAAATTCCCCTCTTAAAATGAATGAATGTCAACCTTTCTTTTTTTTTTTTTTTTTTTTTTTTTTTTTTTTTATTGACCTCAATAACAAACATACAAAATTCAACAATTTACACAAAAGAACACAATGACAATAACAGATCAGGTTAAACAATATAAACTTTAAAAATTAAATAAAAAAAGAAACAAAAGGGGGAAAAAATAAATAAATAAATAAAATTAAACATACATAACACAAATACAGCAAGAGGAAAGGAGGACTTATGTAACCGTGCTGTTTCCAAAATATTTATCATAAAGAACTAAAAATCTATCACTTTTCTTATTATTAACTAATCTAAGAGATTTAATAAAAACATCAATTTCTATTAAAAAATGTGAAAAAGAAGGCTGCGAACAGGAGAATTTTTGTTTATGGATAAAATATTTTCCATACAAAATAAAAAAGTCAATAATGTAATTCTCTGATACATCAGCCCCACCTCCATAATAACAAACGACATCCTGAAGATGAAAGGGTCTGGAAGAAGCAATGTGGTTACCTATATGGAGATATACGTTTTTCCAAAAGTTTTTTGTACTTTCACATTGAAAAAATATGTGAATCAGCGTTTCGTCTTCACTCTTACAAAATGTGCATAAACTGTCAATCTCCAAATACTTTGCCAAAGTACCGTTTACTGGGTATATTTTATGAAGAATTTTGAAATGAACCTCTTTTGTTTTATTGGAAATGCAGTACTTATGAGGTAATAGCCAGGCTTTTTTCCAGTCTGTTGTGTCAATGAAGGATGCCCAGTAAAATTTGCCTTTAGGAACATTATATTTTTTATTTTGAAAAATTTGTCGAATATATTTATTATTACATTTGTTGTCAAATAGACTAATTCCATTTAAAATCAGCTCTGGTTCTTTAATAACATTTTCATTAAACATTAAATGAGATTTTATAAGTTGAATTAGGCCTAACGGAATTGCTTTTTGCACAGAATTAAATTCTTTAAAAGGTAATGGAAAATTATTATTAGACATAAATTGTTCATAAGACAAAAAGTTGCCGGACTTATCAAAAATTGAGAGAATTCCAATTATATTTCGGTTAAACCATGTAGATAGAAAAATAGATTTATTTCTAATTCTAATATCAGAGTTGTTCCATAAAAAGCATTTATGTGGTGAGAAATTGTGGGAATAACACAATTTCCAGGAAAGAAGGACCTGCTGGTGAAATTTTGACAGTGCAATTGGCAATTTATTTGGTAGATAATTACATTTTAAAATAAAAGGAAGACCTCCAATTTTTGTGAAAATAGAGTTTGGAATAAAAAACCATATAGAGTTGGGGTCTTTTAAGCATCTTTTAATCCAATTTATTCTAAAAGTGTTTACTATGTCCTCAAAGTCAATCACTTCAAGTCCGCCCTCTTTTCTACTATTTGCTAGAACTGTTTTCTTAAGTTTATGGGATTTATTTTTCCAAATAAAGTTTAAAAATATTTTGTTAACTTCTTTAGCAGTAGGGATATTAACAGAGAGAGAAAGTGAGGGGTATACCAAACGAGACAAACCTTCTGCTTTAGTCAAAAGAACCCTCCCATAAAGGGAAAGGTCTCTTTGTAGCCAAAGATTAAAAATGCTATGAGTTTTTTTAAGTCTACCAGAAAAGTTAAGCTGTTGTCTAGTGGCAAAATTTTTTGTTAAATAAATACCCAGATACCTTACAGTCTCTTTTACCAAAATACCATTTAATGAGGAATCATTAGTTTCATGAATCATCATAATTTCACATTTGGACATATTCAATTTCAAACCAGAAGCACATGAAAATTCTTCAATTATACTTATAGCCTTGGACAACTGACATTTATCTTTTAAAAATAAGGCAGTGTCATCGGCTAACTGGGAGATTTTAATTTCTCTATCAAAAATAGATATACCTTCTAAGTTACGTTCATATATAATATTTAGCGATAGCAATTCTGTTACTAAAATAAATAAAAAGGGTGAGATAGGGCAACCCTGTCTCACCCCGCGGTTAATAGAAAATCTTTTAGAGGTGTTGAAGCTAATTAAAACAGAGCTACTAATATCACTATAAAGCATTTCAATAGCATTGACAAAAAAGTCACCAAAACCAAATAACTTTAAGGTCTGCAAAAGGAATCCGTGTTCAAGTGTGTCAAATGCTTTATAAAAGTCAAGGAAAAGAATCATAGCTTTAGAATGTATGAAGTCAGCATAATCCAAAAGGTCCAAAGCAAGTCTTATATTATTACTGATATGTCTACCTTTAACAAATCCAGACTGTGTCTCAGCAACCAGCTGATTAATTTTCGTTTTTAATCTGTTAGCAAAAATTAAGGCTAAAATTTTGTAATCAACAGTGAGAAGCGTGATTGGACGCCAATTATCTATTAAATTGGTGTCCTTGTCTGGTTTGGGATGAATGTCAACCTTTCTCTGGGTCTGGATTTGTCCATTATACGTCATTGCAGCTGCATATATAATTGTCACGGGTAGAGTCATGTATGTTAGATAATGTCTTGCTGAAACACATGCCAATGATGCACAATTTAGGCTTGAGATCAGGGGGCAGCTACAGAATATGGCCACTTACATTAGCCCATAAACTTAACATAAAATGTATTATGCCAGTATGTTAACTAATAATGTTGGAAATGTGTTTATTATTTAAGTAGAATTCAAAAAGAGATGCTAGACATAATGATAGACTTAGTCTTAGTATTTACTTCCATTGCATCTGTTTGCAAAACATTAAACGTGTATGGTGGCTGAGGCTGTATAATTCTACTTGAAAGTCTTTAAAAGCAAAATGCCATGCAAGTTTGTCACAACAAGATGCACAACCTTAGCTTTGCTTTTAAATGGATTTTTAAAGGGTAAATATAGCCTGAGGTTGGCAGTCGTTCACTTATGTTCCAGTGCATGGTGGGCAGTAAAGCTTGAACTCTGATACTTACTCCTACAAGATGCCTAAAATGTTTCAAACACAAACTCTTCATGTGCATTGCAATACAACAAACTTCTTAGTCAAAAAGTTATTTTATAGCACTTTTTACGAGGCACATTGTTTCAAAGTAGCATTACAGAAAGTCATAATGTTCATGTTGAAAATGTCTAAATAGTTGTATGCATTGTAGCTGTACTAAGAGAGATATAAGATATGCATGTGGTATTTATCACCCTTTGTCAATATCACTATTATTATTTGTGGATTAAGTTGGACATACTTTTATATTCGGCTTAATATTAAAGATTTATGTGATAATACTGTTTATTTATGTTACAATGTAAGCAACCGTGCAGGTGAGGTTTGCAGTATTTATTCCCCTACACAAGTATTACTGCAAAATGCAGAAAAAGTAGGACATACTTGTTTATTCAGCCTTATATAAAGAGCTGGCCAATGGCATTATGTCTCTGTGATGATGCAAGCAATGCAGCAGTTGAGAGAATACTGTATATGAGGATAAAGTTTCAGCATTATATAAAGAGCTAGCTGTGATGTTGTTTCTTTTTTTGATGACTCAAGCAATTAAGTTTTTTTTTTATTATTGCTCTACATGAGTATTACTGTATATGTAACCCTAGACCTCAAGTCTTAAGTTGCATGGATATATTCGTCAAAAAGCAGTAAGCAAAAAATCCTGTTCCATAAATGTATCAAAACTTAATTTATGATTGGTAATATGCATTGCTTAGAACTTAATTTGAGCAACATTTAGGGTGAATTTAATAGATTATAGACTTCAAATAGTATAAATATCTCAACCAAATATTGTCCTATAACAAACCATATTTTATTCGAAAGCTACACCTTTAAAATACCCTTATGATTGGTGTTGTGGTTCATGGGCACATATGCAGACTAATTTGGACACATTTATGTATCCAACCCTACTTAAACCCATGCCTTTTTGCTAAAAGGTGAAACCCACTCAATATTTGTGCTGCACAACTCTCCTTACTTCAAAACACATTTTACTGGACTGTCCTGCTTTTAATAATTCCAGAATAATTCATTTTGATAAAATGAACTCTCTTGTAGAAATTGTAGAAATTTTTATTTCTATTTAATTCTTATTTAATTTATGTATTCACTTGTTTGTTGTTGTTGTTTTTTAATTATATATTTTTGATTGAAATGTTCCTGCAATAAAAATAGCTTTGGTTCCTGACATGGCATTAAA